TATTATGTGCGACGGATAGCCAAAATGTTTGTCCTCCGCGTAGAGAGTTGGTTTCTTGGATTACCTCGTCGCCACTTGTTATGTGCGACGGATAGCAAAAAAGGTATGTCCTCCGCGTAGAGAGTTCGTTTTTTTTTGGTAGGAGAGGTCCTCGTCGCCACTTGTTATGGTCCAAGTTCCTTGTACCACGGTGATGGTCCAAGGTTAGAACCAATGAAAGAATAACACGAACACAGGTATGGAATACAAAGATATATTACAACAGAAATATAATACAAAGAAGTAGAAGTATTAGTAATGACTATTAGATTTGGTTAGAGTGAACTATGTTGTCTCGACAAGTATCACTATTCCAATGTCCTTACAATATGCTCTCAATTATCTCTCCTTGTCTTGCAATCTGCCCATACCTCTTGAGAGGCGCAGTATTTATAATGTCAGGAATAGTTCATTATTATTATGGGCAAGTTCCCATAACAGTTATCAAGCGCTACATTAGACATAAGTTAAGCAAGTCTTCCGAAGCCGTGAACATGGATGCAGAATTGCGCAAGGAAGAGAATCGTCGAAGTTCCGATCGCTACATTCGCGAGGTTGAGACCCCGGAGGGGTGTACTCAGAAGTCGACTGACGAGGTGTGTGAGGTATTTCAGTGGAATTTCGAGAGCCGCTTTACCAGGGAGCCTGGTCTCCGCGACGAGGAGTTTCGTAGCTATTTAGTTGACTTTCCTCAGCTTTCGCCGAATGAAGGGTGACGTCTACGCGGCATTGAAGAAAGTTGGCAGAGGCACGTCGCTCGGTTTGGATGGCTTGCCCTATGAATTTGTCCCGATTCTGACTGTCGTATTCAACAACTGGTTCCTCCAGGTGTCCGTTCCCAACCGGATCTACAGGAAAGGGCAAGGATATTGGGCGAGGATTAGATGACTACAGGCCCATAACTCTGCTGAAAACAGATTTTGGCCAAGATCCTGCAGGAGCGTTTGCATCAGTTGCCGAGACTTTGTTGGGACCTGAGCAGATTTACGCTGTGAAGGACCGAATAATTAAGAGCAACATGCATCTGATCCGCACGATCATAGAGGCTGTAAAAGACGACGACGAAGCCGCGCTGATCAATTTGGATCAGTCCAAGGCATTTGGTAGGGTCGACCATCGCTAACTGGTTGCTGTCCTGCAGGCCGCTGGATTCCAACCCAACTTCTTCCGCTGGATTAGCCTGCTGCATCCCCCCCACTGCTATGGTAAAGGTGAACGGGAAGCTCTCGAGCGCTTTCGCGTTGACTCGGTCGGTTCGTCAGGGTTGTCCACTGTCGCCCTTGGAGCCTCTTCTTCTCCGGCTGAGGGACAGGGCGTGCAGTCGATATTCCGGGGCTCTTTGGTTGGACGGACGGTCCTGTCCGCATTCTTGGAGTATTGTTTGGATCCGACCTACAGCTTGAGAAAAATTGGTCGGAAGTACAGTCAAAGGTCGGCGCGGCGCGGCGGATTGGACTGAGCGCTGAAAGAGGTTGTCCGTGAAGGGCAGGAGTGAGGCGTGTGCCACTTACGTCTTTCCTCTTGATTTTTACCGCTTGTCTATACTTCCTCTCTGTAAGGAACATAAGAAGGCGATCGAGCGCTTGCTATCCTCCGTTTTGTGGGTGGGAGACGTATCATTAAGTCAACATAGATGTCTGTGCCCAACGTCCGTGTCATGGGTGAGGTGGTAGTGGCTGAGAATGCCGCACTTGACTAGCCACAAGCTCGATTCGAAGCTGGCTTTCCTACGCCGCGCACTGATAGGAGATTCGATTTTTGCGGGGACCGTGAGGAACGCGTTCTGTTTCCTTACTATCACCCCCACTCCCATCTCGCGGGTCGAGCGTCATCGTAAACCCCGGGATCAATCGGCTTTCCTTCGCGGGTGTTGTTCGGCCTTGATGGTCATTCCTTGGATCAGTGACCTTCCTCGCCCACGAGAGTCTTCTATCGTGAACTAGTTGAGGGAGCCACGAAGGATCTACTACGTGAGTGGCTCGACATGTCGGCGGAAGAGTTTCGCTCCTTCTGGTCTTGGTCGCCAGCGGCCCATTACCTCAGCAACCATGAGTTTTCGCTTACCTGGCGACTGGTTCGAAATAGGCTACTTCTCAATGACATGGGGCTTGGCGGATTTGCCAGACTGCAAACGATGTAACAGTGTTCTGAAGGAAACGGCCGAGCACGCCTTCTACCATTGTCCTCGGGTCCACCCGCTATGGCACCATATCGACAAATTGACGGCTCGTATCGCTCCCAAAAAGCTCGTGCTCATCGATCGTGCGTACACATGTAACATTGTGTCGCCCCCGTATTCAGGCGTGAAACGAATGGAGTTTCTATTCATGCTGGCCACGGCCCGAATGGTTATTTGGACGACGCGACAGGAGAAAGTCTTACGAGTCGTCCGTTTTTCGCATCAGGATCTGATCCGATTCTTTGAGCACCAGCTCAAGATGAAGATTAGAACTGAGAGTAAACGATTAGTCTGGACAATCTTCAGCGAGATGAGGGTGACTCAGGTGAGCTTGGTTCGTATGAACTGGGCTAGCCTTGATTTTCTTTTTTTGGTTCACCTACGTCACATCGGTTAGGTTAGACCACTTTTGTGTACCTAGTTAATGTGAGTAAGCATTGTTTCCGGTATGTTCCTGGCGGCATCTTTTGTTAGGATCCATGTCGTATTTCCACCTCCCCAGTTTGTTTTTTTGATCCCTACTTTTTTCATCACGACCGGATCAGCATTTTTCCCCTCTCCCCATAGCCGTATTTATTATCATTTCTTCTCTCTCCTTTAGCGAGAGAGCCTCTTGATTTTGTCTAAGGGCAGAATACAGTGACCTCTTTTTTTGAGAGAGAGGTGGACGAACATCATTTTTGTTTCCTTTGTTTGTTTTATATTTTAGTTTTGTTTTTTGGGATCATCTCCACCCCATCTCTCCGTCATTCGTAAATTTTTATGTATAAAAAAAAATCATGAAATTTTCAAATTTTCATGTCATGGAGTGCGTTTTTGTAGGTCCCCTGAGTGTATGAGGTATTATGGTAAATGGAGGATTGATTGGTAACGGACAAGTTCTTTTGGTGAATGTGTTAAATTGTAACGATTGAATGGGTCGCGAATTAGATTAACTAGGTATAGGATAGCAGTGATGACCAACCTCAGCTCAACTCCCCACTTTTCGGCCTTGTGCCACAATTTTATATTTTTTACAAAATAAATCTCGAGTTTTTTCACACGGCTAACAACTGCCAATCTACTCTACGACACTTGTACCATTGAAGTTACAAAGTTAGAATTCTCTTAACACGAAACAAACTACAATGCAATTCAAGGCAAGCCAATTCAATTCAATCTAATTCATTCCTTCATCACTACTGGATTCATTCATCACATATTGAAAGTTCTAGAATCATAGAACTTATCTTCAGCAGAATCGATAAAACATTTCTTACACTGGGTTTTATCAACTATCAAGTTAAAGTTCTCAGCTACAGAACGAATTTTCATCCAGCTTTTAAGATATTTTTTAAATTTTTATTTATTCTTTGACACCCCCCCCCCAAAAAAAATACAGTCAAAGGAAGATAACTTTGTCACTAAACTCTTACAATTTACACTACAGAAATTGTGCTATACAAACTGTTTAAATTTCACAAGCTGTATAAAAATTACATACAGCCACTTATTTCTTTCAGTGAACTTAAATTCATTTCTCACTTTTCATTCTAAGAGTTTATACACAAAATTTAAAATCCACAAACACCTTTTATTCACAAACAGTACATAAATTACTTTGTAAGATTTTTATTGTTGTTTTTACAAAAAATAGATTTATCGTTGGTTGTCATATTTACACTTATTCTGTTTGTTGAATACCGAAAGTTAAATGTGAGTGGAAACAGCTAATTTCATCACGCAGCCCTATCTTCTCAATAATAGATTAAGCAAAAATTTAGCATCATTCCGTTTACACTCTGACTCACTCATTTACAGTTTGTTCATTTTATCCAAACACTATTTTTGTATATGATGTATTGTAAATAAATTTTGTATTAATTTTAGTTTGTCATTTGTTGTCCTTTTGTTGACCAGTCAGATTCGCGTCTTTTCTTTTTAGAATGTTAGTGGGCCTCTTGTGACTCATACTTATTTTGAGCGCACAGGCCATTTTATATCGCGCCCTCTCCAAGAAGTCCACTACAAATCTAATTAGCTAGGTCTAGGATAGAAAGTGTTGACCAGCCTTAATCAAGTTCCCCTTTGGCCTTGTGCCGCAATTGTTTCAAATGAAGCAATAAATAAATGTATTCCTGCGTGGTTGAAAATAAAAATAAAATTTATTGGCCAGCGCATTGAGAAAACTCACAATCTTCCATTAACCAGCTAGCTAGAAACTTCCGGTTTAGCTTTTAGTGTTGTCATCCCTATTGACTGGAATAAGATCACCCTGTTGAGATCTATTAAAAATAAATAAATAAATCAACAACTACAATAATAATAATACTAATTAAAAGCCAAACTTTTTCTCTCTAGGTACAGAGTTGGTTGTATGTTCACTTTTTTTTGTCATTTAGGATTACCGCCCCCCATCTCATCCAAGAAAAAAACGGAACAAAACAAAAAACAAAACAAGGATTCATGCCAGTTGTTCGATTGCTGAGTCTCAAGTGGAAGAGAAAAGAAAGACTTTAAACTAGTTTCTGAACAAATAGTCGTTGAGTTGATGTATCTTACTCGTAAAAACATGAGCGAAGTGTTCAGTTACACTCAGTCAGCACACACATTACTGCAGATATTTTTTTATTAGACTTCACAGGAAAAGCTGTTTAAAAATTTTATTTTGTGAGTTACGTCGCAGGCTTGCTTATCAAAGACAACGCACATTCATTTCTCGTCTTTATTGAATGCGTCAACAATGTTTGTAGAAAAAACAAAAAGAGTAGAGCGCTGGTATTTTGGTGGTGTGGCAAGTGCTATGTCATCTTGTTGTGTACATCCATTGGATTTATTAAAGGTAATAACATTGCTTCTTTTGTTGTACAAATACCGATATTTTAAGAAGCGGTGTTCATGAAAAAGAAGTATATCGTAAAAGAAATTCCATCTTTTGTAAAAATTTATTTTGCAAACAAACCAAAAACAATTTGTCATATGATATATTGCTATATACATAAATAAATTTAATAACTTTAAAAATTACTACGTGGTTGTGATATAGCTCTTTGTGGATCAGTTTAAACAGGAACTAAAGTAGGAACCGCACGGACTTATTAAAACTAAAAAAAAACAAAGAAAAACGCATTTTACGATTTTAATATTTTAAAAGGTAAAAATTAAATACCATTGAATTTCATTTTTGGTTTTATGAACAATCTGAATTAACTAAAAGCAATTTTTTTTTTTTTATAATTGTAGTTTTTATGACAAAACTTTAAACGAAAACTAATTCAATAATATAATAAATCTCTTTTTCTGTGTAGAACAGCAATGACAAAAGAAAGAACAAATTAAATAATACAATGAAGCGTTTTTTATAAACTTGGTAAAGTAGAAACGAAATAAGGGTTTGATAACTTTTTTTTTTAATTTGTCCCTCCTTTTTTTTTTTTTTTTTTTTTTACACAGAAAAAGCCTAATCCTAACACCTAACCCATAAACATACAAAATAAAATAAAAAAAATGCTAGAAACGAAATGAGGGTTTAGTGCGTAGTATTTTTTTTTTTTTTTTTTCCACCGAAAGTCTGTAAAAGTAGCAAATTGGCCAAAATTTGTGCTTTCGCTACTTCATGTATCCCGCAGTAAATTACTAAACATTATGGCAGTAATGGTGGTCAAATGACCAGTCTGATTTTTTTTCTTGTCGATAACTCCAAAACTGTAGGTTTTTTTCATAATTTAATTAATTTTAGTTCAGCATGTACATTTACATGGAATTATGACGATTTTTGAAAATTTTAAGAGGTATTTAGCGCGGACGTTAAAAAGCAAATTTACCATTTGCCTTTAAGCGGTAAGAAGCCCCACGTTTAAGTAATAAAAATTTCTGGAATCGTTATATTTAGGTGTAAAATTTACATGCTTACTTCGAAAATAATAAAGAAATTTTGATAAAATCTACAATTTTGGAGTTATCAACAATAAAAGTTCAGACTCGTTCGCGTTCATCCGTCGGCCATTATTTGCCTTGTTTAACTACATTCACTGCGGAACAGTTTATGCGCGGAAGCTTAATTAACGGCCTTTTTACTGATCTTAACCTTCTAAATTACTGCGAACTTCGTAAATTTACAAAATAAAAAGTGCTAGAAAGGAAATAATTAGTGTGCAAACTTTGTGCATGAGTTATTCCTTATTTTATATTTAATTAAAAAAAAAGCTAGATAGGAAATTAATGGACAAACTTGCTACAAAGTGTGTCATACGTTTAAACTTATTTTAGATGTCACATTTTAAGAAAGATTTCATGTCAATGGACAGGCGTATTGATGCAAAATCATTGATGGCACTATTGTCTCAGATTTCTGTGTTCTCATTCTTTTTTAACAAGTTCTTCAAATTATGCTGCAATGTTGGAATTTAATTTGAGAACAATATTTTACAAGTTCACATTCTCGCTATTTTTTCCAACCTCTTTTTACTTTCAAAAGCGGCTTCCAAAGCCTTGATTCTTATCAGAGATAAGAATATATTTTCTGACTAACGAGAGAGCTAGAAAATATAAAAAGGAATTCCACCACCATTAATTATTCTTTCCATGGTGCCATAAAGTCTGGGGGAAACCTCACAGCTTGTTCACACCAACTTGTTTTCATTACCTTCAAAACCGGCTCCCAGGGCCATGATTCTTATCAGAGATAAGAATATATTTTCTGACCAATGAAGGGGCCAGGAAATTTGTTCAACAATTTCGGAGGGAAAAGTCCCCAATTCTTCGGAGCCTATTAAATCTCCATAAATTTGGAGAATCTTTGCCTATTTGGTAGTGAGACTTCAGTCCGCTGTCTGTGAGGTCGATGATAGGGAGTTCCAGTCAACTTCAGAACCACTTTCAACCAAAGAAGAACTACCTACTAAAGGGCTGTTGAGAACGAACGTCGGCCCACAATTCAAGACCACTTCAAAGCTGCATCCATTTGCCACTGCTTCTGAGGAGCCCACTGGACTTCTGTCGTTGACCTATGAACTCGCTCAACTGCAAGATTCCTATATCTACGAACAATTTTCCTACTCTACAAGAACTGTGAGTGTTTCTAAACCATAACAAAATTCTACTCACTTCAAGAAATTTTTAGGTGCTCAGAGAAATATTTTGAGCAAGCCTTTTTTCTGTTATGAACATTTTCTCTTCCCTTAAAGGACATTTTCTCTTTTCCCTTTCTTTCACTCTTAATTGTCTTTATCCTTTAACCCTTTTTTTCTGTATATGTAAATAAACATTGTCTTCTTTTATTGTTACACACCGAGCAGGAGTTTTTTTATTTGTCCGTGCCTAATCTTGCTGTTTTTACTTGTGTTTTGTCGCAATTTTTTAACCTCAACCTAATTTTTTAACTTCAACCCTTGGATGCAGGAAAGCCGGGACAGATTTCCCAGTAGCAATCTTCTTCACCTGATCTGGAGGCTGCAACCAAATTGATATGTAACTGCCAATTTCAGTAATGAAAGAGAAGCCATTGATTTAATTAATTGACAAGCAGCTAGAATAGGACACACTAAAGAGGTAAAACAGACTGCTGCAGTACTTAGAAGATTTCATCATGACTGAAGTTGTTGGAAGCAGGCTGACCGGTAGTGTAAACCTTTATTCTTGTCTTGGACAGAACTGTTTCAGAGCTTCAATGTTTTCAATGCCTGTTTTATTTGAATCCCCAGTGCAACCAGGTTTTGTATATTGATGGTCTCGGATTTAGGGCTGAAATATTCTCACTTGACATACAGGATTTGAAAGCAGAGTGCCACAGTGCAAGGCCTTTCATAGAGTGAAAGTCATGATATTTGGAAATGCTTATTGATTTACTGGAGTTTATGCATCCCTACAAAGACATTCACTCTCTCAACTTTTTCGAGTGATTCAAATTGTAGTGACTCTACCTGTTATCTAAGTGATGCCTTTATTTTTATTTTTCCTGTAAAATTATTATAATCCTATATGACTAATACTTTAAGAATATAATTTTCTATTCTATCTATTTTTATGGAACTTTGTAGAATGGTCAAAAGTGAGAAATCCAAATTATTGTACATGCATGCAAAAATATATCCATTTTTAAAAGGAAAATAAAATAGAATTCATTTAAAAAAGGTTCACACTTAAAAATGGCATTAAACTTGACATGTTTGAAGATTCAAAATATGTAAAAGATTTTCTTTGATTAAATAAAATCAAAGAAACTCTTGGGATGAACAGCAATAGATGACTTTCAAAATGTAAGTGAAAAATGAGTAAGTAATTTCTTTTTAAAATAAATAAGATAGCATAGATTTTTTTTCTTTCTATTCTGAAAGAAAATACATTAAATTATGCAAGCACCAATTCTTAATAAAAATTATTTTTTGAATTATTTTTGGTTCAGGACAAATTTTCAGTATGTTCACACTTGATATTGCATACATTTTTTACTGAGTTACCAGCTTCAGGGTTTTTTTTTTAACCATGTAACCTTCAACAAACCTGTATTGACTCCATATAACCATAACAATTACATTCTGATGAAATAACCAGTCCCACGGAAAATCCAGAGTGTGCTTTGGATCACCAGTCAGTTAAAGGACACCATCTATGTCCCCAAGGCCATAGGGAGTGTTAAACTCTTCTCATCAGACCAAATACATCAATCAAACTGTTTCATGCAGTCCCTTTATTAACACTTGATATAATGCTTTTCTTGACAATGACTGGGTTTCAGAGAAGCTCATATTCAGCTGAAAGATGACTTCCAGAAAATGTCAACATTTACATTAGAAGGAACACTTGTTTTAAAGCAAGTGGCATACATTTTGGTCACCCAAGTGCATGTCTTCTCAAAGCTGAAAAAGCCTTCTTAGAATCTTTGGTATACAATTAGCCCAGGAAATGTAACAGTAAATATACTGATTGACTTTTGTATTCAACATCTTCAGATTTTCCTCAGAAGCATGGAAACATCAGATTTTGCAATGCACCTTGAAACCACAAAGAGAACTCTCGCTAACTTAGTTTGGAACATGGGAAGATGAAGGAGTAGGTGTGCATGTAGAAAATACTTTTACCCTTCCCTTTAAGAAAAGGTTACATTGATAGGACAATTTTTTTTGCAGTTTTGAGCAACAAACAATTCTTCTTCAGTTAGAGACAGTCTTCAAGCATAACCAGCAGACAGTATCAAAAACAAAAAGGTCCTTTGTTGCACTTTTTTTGCCAAGTGATTTGATCACAGTATTTCATAGATTTGACAATCTTGTTTATTTTTCTGTCAACCATTAAGAAAGTTACAATTCCTTTTTCAATGACCCTTAATTCATACATTATCAATCAGCAATCCATCTTCATTTATTAGGTGGATGCACTGTCTAGTCTGCATTATGAATTCCAACATTCATTAAACTGGTAGCTTGGTTTTGTCTCCAACAACAGTCAAATCCTTGCCCACTGCTGCACTGCCCGATTCATATGTAATTTATTCACAGTCATGTTATTAACTGTTGACATGTCTACTGGGTATCCATTTACAGATGCCGTTTTTAGAACCTGTTTCTACAAGTCCTCTCCCTATGAAACCTGCCAGTCGTTTGATCCTGTTGGCATATATGTGTATGGACTCACAAGTCCACCTTGTACCCACCAGCTTCAAATTAGCTGCAAATGCACCCTCAGTAAATGTTTGCTTAGGCCTTATGTCAGCATCTAGCTGTTCACTGTCATTTATCCTGAGGTAGAGTGCTTATCTTTTTTAAATATGTAACCATGTCTCCTTCATCAACTTGACCATATTGCTGTTCAATGGTATTTTTTTTCTTCCATTCTGCTTGTGCTAAAACCGTTCAAGGACAGAAGAGTAAAACTTAGACTCACCCAGGTTTCTTAATGTGAATGTAACAAATGTCCATCTTCTATTTCTGTCTACATCTACTTTGCCATCCTGTATTCCTTCATACACTGAGTTCCTCCTTCATTTTCTATACATCTATAAGGCAACAGTTATAATACAAAAAGCACTGAAAAGTTCTCAGCCCGACCAAAAAAAAGTGATATTTACTCATTTTGGAGAATCTTTTAGCTCCCCCTTTGTACAGACATGTTTATTTATTTTAAGATACACAAGTCAGTTCTTTTGGATGATAATTGTATAAACATTTAATTTTATTATTTTCTTTTGTTATTAGGTTCACCTTCAAACACAGCAAGGGAAAAAAGTAAAAATGGTTACTTTATTTCTCAATGTTGTTAGACATGATGGATTTCTAGCACTTTACAGTGGAGTTTCGGCTGCTGTTCTCAGACAGGTAAAACCATTTTTGTTTTTTAAATCTTAATTGTTTGTGCACAATTATAAATTGTTATACTCAGTGAGTTAGAAGTTGAAAAAGAGAATGAAAATTTAATTTTTCAAGCTGGTTGAGCAACTCTTACGGAAGGCAAATATAATACAGAAAATCAAATATAGGTTGTAGCTTGTGAATTTTATTTAAAATTATCCCTTCTCTGTGAAGAGAAGGGTTCACTGTGTTCAACAAAAATCATCAACAGTGATGAAAAGAGAAATAAAGTAGATAAGAAGCAAATGATATAAATAATGATAATAATTGTCTTGTGTAGTTTCAAAGATGAGAAATAGCTGAAAATACACTAACAGTAATTGTTAGTGTCTTTACAACTTTCTATTTAGAAAACTAATATTTAAGAGGAGTGGCTAAATGAATTCAAGACATTTGTGGACATTCTACCACCAACATTCTTTGCAACCACACAAATATTTTATAACTGCTTTGCATATCTTAATGGAATAATTTGATAGAGATGATTACATCTAAAAGTAAAGAGGAAAGAGCTATTGGAAAATGAAAAAAATAGAAGAATTGGTATATATCAACTTTTGAGGTAGATGCATAAGTCATGCCAATGTTAAATAATAGTTTAGTAGACTTATTTTTTAGAGAAAGTGTATCTCTTCTCTGACTTCCAGATGTTGACCATGGAATCAGATACAAACCATAATATGTGAAGTCAATTTTGATTGGCTGAGTTAGCATGATAAAGGAGTTAAGAGAAAGGTAGGAGTGAGTTGTGTCTTAACCATCAAGCAGTGTATACATGTTCTCTTTTGTTTCTGAAACAGCTCCCCAGTGAGGGGGAACAACCCCCACTGGATAGTACATGTCGACATTAATAAAATAGTTAAGTTAAAATTGTCTATGTTTGACATCCTTTCATCTCTGAACCGAAACATCTAACAATCACTGGCCAAGAGAGAAGCAATGCAACACAATGGGATGTGGCTTTTATTACTCAGTACCTACACAATATGGAATACTTTGCTTAACAAAGAAAAGTGTAATGAATTTCTCCAGATATAAATTCTGGAATAATCTGTATTTTAAGCATTGGTGTAAGTGCTTTTAGTTTTCTGTCTTTTACTGTTTTTTTGGCTTTTGTGCCGGTGGAATAAAAAAGAAGCCATTTCTTTCCTGGGGAATAGAAGTCCTGAAAAGGGGAGAATAGATTTACTTGAGTTCATTTGTCCAAATCATTCTTGGAATGGTCGTGACCTTTGTTAGAATTGTAGACAAAGTATTTACTAAGTTGTTTGATAACTTGCTACTAATATAACAAATGTTTTTATCTTAGAATATTTATTTGTTCATTAGAATATATTTTAATTTTTTGTTTGCAGTTGACATATTCTCTAACAAGATTTGCTATTTATGATTCTGTAAAAATACATATCCTAAAAGAAGGTCAGTCAATGCCATTCTATCAGAAAGTGCTGCTAGCAGGTCTGTCTGGAGGAATAGCAGGAATAGTGAGTGCTCCAGCTGATTTGGTTAATGTCAGGTGAGTAAAGAATATCTTTTGTTCTGAAGATTCTATAAAAAGAATGATGTTATGACAATGTTTTCTAATGTCTAAATTTTTATCAGGGAAAATACTTTGAAATTTATTCTTTTTAAAAATAACTGTCAAATAATGAAAAAACATGTGGAATGATGACAAACAATAAGTGTTTGTAAATGCATAGAAAGTTCAAGAAAACAGGACAAAAAGAAAAAGTTACAATGAAAACATCAGAGTTCCTTCAAGAAACAATTTTCTCAGGTTATTGATATAAAATAAACATTTGAATAATTTCATTTAATGATGTAGACATTAGCAAGCTGGGAAGTAACTAGATTTTATGGAGATTTCACTCAATGGTTGTTGTGATTCTTGCTGAGGCTGTGTAATTATTGTCTCTACTGAAAGCAATATCATCAAACAAACTGACAAATTCTGTTGATAACTAATAAGAGAGTTAATAAAAACAAATTGAAGAATTTGAAAATACATTAGGAGTAAAGAATTATTAATCTTTCTATGTAACCTGATTGACAATTTTGTGACATGAAAATTTCCTTGTAATTTGTAGTGAAATAAGGGACCTTGATTCTCACACAGTATTCTTGCCTATTTGGGCCTGTATATTTGTTTGTGGCGGTGAGAGGGAGAATGTTCTATGAATGGACCTTTTTGTTTTTGGTGATCCCAATCTATGGCAATGAATGTTTATTCATGTTTCAATATATGAAATGTGGCACAAGGCAGAAAAATGGGAAATGCAAGAGGATGGTCTTCATTGTTCTAAACTTAAGCTTAGCTAGTCACATTCACTGACCCAAATGCACTTTTTAGCCATGTTGGCTGGGACTTCAGAATATGCCAACTACACCTCTGCAAATGGGTAAGACCCCCCAAAAAAAAGGTGTCCTGAGTGCCTCTGATTAGGAGGTTATGAAGAATGTGAAACCACCTCTTAATTTTTGATGTTCCCAGGTCCACCCTGACCCAGGGTGGTAGCACCTGTTAGGGTCCTATCTATGGACAAATAGTTAATTGGAGTCCATATCTCCTGGGTATGATGATAAACTACATCCACGTCCTGAGTAAGACATTAAACTACATTCAACAGTAAGGCCTCTGATCAGAGGTTTGAGGAGTGTGGAAGCATCTCTTAATTTCTGATGTTCCCAGGTTCACCCTGACCTGGGGTGGTAGCACCTGTCTGGGTCCCAGCTATGGGCAAATAGTTGACACCCAAACAAGGATCAAAATTGCTGTGGAGGTGTAAAAATAGGCATTAGTACCAGCAATACTTTTATGAAGGAAAAATTATTGCCAGCAATATAGTTTTGAAGGAAAAATTATTATCGGAAATACAAAATTGAAGGAAAAATTATTACCAGCAATACAATTTTAAAGGAAAATTATTACAAGCAAAATATTACCAGCAATACATTTTTGGCGAAAATATTATCAGTAATATATTTCTTTGGGAAAATATTATCAGGTATACATTTTTTGAAAAATATTACCAGAAATAGATTTTTGAAGGAAAAAAACATTATCAGCAATACATTTTTGAAAAAAAAAAAACATTACCAGCAATAAAAATTTTGTTGGCATTAAATAACCCATTGAGGTTGATATGCTGTAAAACAAAACAAACCAAATGCACTTTTAATATTCCTTATACCATAATACTACATTAATGCAAAAACACAAGAATCACCAAAAAAACAAAAAAACAAGCTCTCCTAGAAATCCTAACCTAATGTCTCATATTTACAAATATGGAGGGGGATAAAAAAAATTATTTTATTTACATCATAAAAATATCCTCATGATATGAATCAAAATGTACACAATAAAAAAATTGTTAGTATTGGATGTCCTATATGTGGCAGAAAAGCAAGTTAACTGGGTGAAAATACAGTGGGAATGTGTAGGAAAAATAATTAAAAATAAAATAAAGAGAATTGTGCCTTCTGTTACCTAGAGAGAGTTGGGAAGGGGAAATGAAAACGGAAAGTGTGGTGGGATGTTTAATAAAAAGAGATCAATAATCATTTCCTTCCTAGTTAAGTTAACCAAGTTGAGAAAAACAAAAAAAACTTTAGATACTCTTAACCTAAGTTGAACAGGCATGTTTTTCTTGGAAGAGAAGTCGTCATTCAATCTGCCAGCTCCCGATGTCACTCAAGGTTAGTGCCATTCACTCACACTAGCAAAGTCCTCGAAAGAAAGTCTCTCCTTCTCCACCCTGATCTTGACTCTGCAGAGCTAGTTTTTGTCCATCTACATCCAACCAGTTTGAAATGGTATTAAATGCTTTTCTATTAAATGTCAGATTAAAATGGCATTCCCCCATTTTCTTGTGTGGCTTTACATCTACTATGTTTCCATATTGCAGACGAAATGTGCCCATCTGCTGGCCCAAGATGGAGATTGGTACTTCATACTCTGCCATCCTTGTCCTTTGTATACCACCATTATGATGCAATCTTTGTTTTGATGATCACTCTTCATGAGAACTATGTAGTCTTCTTTGGTGGGTAACAGTATGACTCGTATGGGAAAATGTCTGCCTTTCACTATCTGTTGGATCTATACTCTCTGGTCAGCCAATGCTTTTATAATGTAATCCTTTAAGGAAATCTTATGTTTTTTTTTCATGACAAACAGATGATCATCTTTTCAATAACTTTCAATTGCTCAATGTCCACTATAAGCCCATCTGGCTTTATCTGATAGGTATATTGTCAGTATTTCATTTTCAGTCATTTACTTGGTTGTCTTTTGGGCATTATTTACCTCTTGAGCCTGAGGTAGGCAACCTTTTGGGGAGAGCAGGCCAGAAGCTATGCAGTGTCTTGGAGGAGGGCCATGATATAAAATGTACTATAATAATTTTTTTCTAAATAAGATCATCCAGGAGGCTGCTTTGGTCTGGAGAAACTTTCTTCACAGCATTTTTTTTATTTATTTATTTTTTTTTTTACAGTAAGGTTCACCTTGTTCAAGGTCTGGGGCTCACTTGTGGTAGAGGGTTATGTTAAGAGGTAGTTTAAATGGATAGGAAGGAGAGGTAACAGTTAACCGTAGACTTGATTAAGATTGTAGTGATCAGGGAATCTTGGGAGTCGGTTCCACAGTCAGAGAAGTGGTTTGTGGGAAGAAGCTTTTCAAGTGAAACTGACTTCTCAGCAATGTAATACAGAGGGAATGAGACTGGTTTGCTACAATATATGTGGCATGGCGGATCCTAGCTGGGAAGGTTAGACCTGGAGGAACCAAGGAATGTAGTTCATATGAGCACTTTCCATGGTAATAGCAATAGAGCAGCAAGTGGATTGCCATGTTCCACCTGTGAGAGAGAGAGGTTGGAGGGTGGGAAATAATTTGTCACCTAAAAGGACTCAGTGATGCTTTTGAACTCTATCAAGACTGGAGTATGATGACAGTAATCCATTTTCAGCCTGATCTGGCTCTTGTAAAGGTAGAGTATAGCATGAGGAGTTAGGAACTTACTAGAGCAGTACAAGAAGCTAACAATTTTTCCTGCATCTTTGTGAGCGACATTTTCTTGACAAATTAAGCAAACACATTTTCTGAAGCGCTCAATGAAAAAATAGTTAAGTATCCTCCTTTTGTTAAAATTTTGGCTTTCAAAATTCACTTCTTAGTTTCCATGAGCTTGTTTTTGTTTACACAAAAAAAAATTCTGGAAAGGATAGAAAGCATGTGTATGGTAAATGAGTTACAATTAAGTTGGTCAGCCAGACTAAAATCCTACATGAGCCGGGTATGCTCTAACACTTTGAAGACATTATTCAAAGGAGTAGTTGACTTGTCTCTTTTGCTACTTTTTTTTTCTTTCTGTCCTTTTTAGGCCCAGTCTTTTTGGTTGGTGACACATCTTTGAGAAGTGCCTTGTCCAGAGGATCTGCCTTTGTGGTAGCTCCAAATCTTTTTTGATGGACTGACAAGGACAAACAGTTTTTAGAAAAAAAACCAGTAAAAGAAAGAAAAGCAGGGATTTAACATAAGCAAAAAAGGAAGTATAACAAAAATGAAGAAAAAAGACAAAAACCAACGTAATGTAAATAAATGAAAGTATGGCAACAAAGATTAGTTAAAGGAAAAATAAATCAAAAACTTATTGTCAATCAAATAGTTCACAAAAAAGTTCATTGACAAAAAAATTGTCTTTACAAAATGGTCAAAATTTTCAAAAACAATCTAGGTGTAATGACATCAAAGAACATGCTCTCCCAAAATTTATAGACAAATTCTACAAATGCTTGCTAAGATTTCTTCCTAAATAATAAAAATGTACAATTCTTAGTCTCATCCCTCATATTTTTGTTTTTTCTTGTATTGATCTAAGAATGCAATAATTCTTTTGTGTTCTTGCTTTGTGAAATTTTTGTCTTGCTACTGTTGCTTTGCCTAATTTTCACTTGCATATATATTGTTTGCTTAGTATTATTTTACCCTGCTATTTTTCTTCCTTTTCAAATTGTTTGTTGAGAATTTTATCAATTCTGCTTAATCAATTATTCCACAATTTTGTCTTGTCATCTTCTCTCTGCTCATTTGTCTATCTGCTGTATCCATTACATTTATCTATAATAATGAATGTGAAAGTGTGTGTGTCACACTTTTTTTAGTTAAAGGGACACAACTCTCTAACTTATAAATATCTCACCTTCTTCAAATGAGACATGCTCATCCAGTATTGGAATTGAATCCTTAGATCACAAATTTAGCTCTTTGTGAAATTGAAGATAAAGTGATGAACTTGGCTCAAAGAGATCTTTGGTCTGCCAAATCTAAACAGAGTAACTGGACAAATTAAGAGAGAAATTTTGAGAGAAACAGGATACAACATGGAAAAAATGTGGCAATGTGTTCAAAACAATGAGCCCCTGTTAAACCAAGACTGACAGCAAGTGTCTCAGAAGGTTCTTGATAACATCAGTAACAACAATGGAAGGATATTCTTCTTGGATACACCTGGAGGTAGTGGTAACATTTTTGTAAGTAACATTCTGTCATGAGACTCCAAAGAAAAGTAGCTCTAGCACTTGCATCATCTGGAGTTGCTGCTACCCACTTGCCTGGAGGGCATACAGCACATAGCATGTTCAAACTTCCATTAGATTTGAACTACAATGAAACTCCTATTTGCATACAACAAGAGAGGAACCAAATTGGCAAAGCTACTAGAGGAGACAAGCTTCATTGTCTGGGATGAATGTACCATGGCATACAGAGTGGGCATTTGAGGCCCTGGATAAAACAGTCAAAGACATTAGACAGAATTAAAAAATCATAGGATCTGTGCTACTCTCTAGTGTCTTTTAGACAAACATTACCAGTCATTGCAAAAGATCTCCAGCTGATGAGATCAATGCTTGCCTGAAAAATTCTTACATGTAGAGTCATGTTCAAAGACTCAGCCTGAAAACAAACATGAGAGTTAGTATTACAGGTGACCTTGAAGCAGTAAGATTTGCTGCTTTGCTGTTACAGCTTGGCAATAGAACCATCAAACTGGAGGTATTTAACTCCCAAATGGTTGTGGAGTTTCAGTCTCAAGTATTCAAGACTTGATTAACCATATTTATCCAAACATTAAACACCATTTCATGGATTCAAACTGGCTTTGTGAGAGGCTATATTATCTCTCAAGAATCAAACTAGATAACATCAACTGGAAACTTCTCTAAGAAATTCCAAAAGAAAGCATGAAGTACTTTTCCATTGATACTGTGGTTGAACAAGAGTAGGCAGTGAATTATCCAATAGAGTTCCTGAACTCATTGAATCCTCCTGCAATGCCATCAGACAAGCTGGAACTAAAAGAAAATGTGCCAGTTATGCTATTGAGAAATCCAGATCCTCCAAAGCTTTGTAATGGAACAAAGTTAATTGTCAAGAAGATGCTTCTCCATCTCTTGGAAGCAGAGATCCTTATTGGTCCAGGAAAGGAGGAAAGAGTTTTAATTCCAAGAATCCTTTAATTCCTCCAGATCTCCCTTTTGAGTTCAAAAGACTTCAGTTTCCAGTGAGAGTGATCTGCACATTGTCAATAAGCCCCAAGGACAATCATTGAAAGTAAATGGACTTCATCTGATGGAACCCTGCTTTCCTCACAGCCAGCTTTAGGTTGGTTGTTCAAGGGTTGGGAAATAAGGTATTTGTACTCCCCCTGAATGGGAAAACCAAAAATGTTGTTTTGCAGTAAGTTCCAAATAGACAAATTATATCATTGTTTTGATGAAAACTGTTAGTTGCTTGAAAAATATTGGTTAAGTTTAATGATGAAAAAGACACCAAACTTGACGAAAACAAAATTTTATCATCTAGATGTTTGTAATTATTAAGAGGAAAGATCAAAGTATTTTTGGGGTATTTTTTTACATTTTTTAATCGTTTCTAGCACGTCTGAAATTTTTGTTAAAAATCTTGTTTTTTTTTGAGTCAGCAAAATTGACCATTTTTTCCATTTTTATAAAAAAACTGGAAATCTCACTTTGAAATTCTTGTAAATATCAATTATCATTTTTTCAAAACTTATTTTAAGAAAATCAGAAATTATGTTTATTTACAATATTTTGAACCAAGCTTAACTTAGCTTCTGTGCCGAAAAGATGTAATTTGAAAATAAAACAAAGCAGGTCATAAACTTTTGCATCACTTGACAGGTGATGAATGACATATTGATGGATTCCATGAGGCTAATTTGTTCTAAGGAAAGAGAAAAGTGAAATAATTTACATTTAAGTGAACAAATTATTTACCTCGTTATTTTTAAGGAAAGCTTTCAGCGCTCTAATTTTTTTTTTATTGTACTTAGCTTTCACCTTTACGTTGACAATGCTTTATGGAAAATATATTATAAAGAAATTAAAATATGACTGTTAAGAGTGGGATTAAATTCATATTTCATAAGAAAGGTATCTAATTAATTTATAGGTACCCTTTTTATGAAATTTTATCAGAATTATACATAAAATACTATAATTTTATGTACATTTATTACATTTTACTGTGTTATTTGTATTTCCATTTATTTTATTATTAATTTTGATATTTCATTTATGGAAAAATGTCATAACTGAGATTAATATAAAAATAAGATCATATAAATTTCATAAGATGATACTGATACCTGTAGGTACCCTGCTCGGTTGAAATTGAAAAATCAAATTAACTTCTCCACATGTGTTTTGCAAAAGTTAAGGCCTTAACAGTGGAGAACAATGCTTAACTGAAATAATGCAACTTAATTGTATTCTGGTTGGTCTTCCATACTTTATAATTACAGCCCAATTATAAACACAAAATTACATTTCTTAATTACTGCAGGTCTTCTGATTAGTCAAAACTATACAATTTACAATGTAGTAAAAAAAGGACATTACGAAAGTGAATGCTGCTTTTAACTAATTTTATAATATTTAAAAAAATTAAATGTAAAAATCTATTATAATTAAGAAATAACAAATAATTGTATTAAAAATTCATTTTTCATTGAAAAAACTTTTTGCTTTCAGAAAATATTGTCCATATTCATAAAAACAACTAAAAGCAAATAAAAGCATTTGAAATTAAATAATATCTTTGTTTTATTGAGTTTTGTATGTTACAATTCAGAGCTGATTTTCAGGTAGGTGGGGTCCAATTAAAAACAAAAAAAAAACATGATTTGCATTCCTCAATGCCTTGTGCTTTTAACTATTGTAATCATTAAACTAGACTCGATCGAATTTCTAGTGTTTTCATAAAATTAGTTATGGTGGGGGGTAATAAATATAAAAAAAATATTTCTGCCATGACTTTAATAAAAAAAAACATATTTATAATAATTTTGATCATCTGTGAATAGTTCCTGAAAGTTTCATTAACATCTGACAATTATATTTTTGCAAGATTTTCCAAATTTATGTGTGTCATACCAAAAAAATGTGCTAAAAATTGTCTGTTATTTTACTAGTTCCAGTGATACAAAGAGAAACAAGGTTCTTTAATCAAAATTTAGAATGTTCTAAAGAGAAGGAAAAAATTTTTTAAAATAATTAAAAAAAAAAACTTTAGTCTTTCCTCTTAATAATAACATAAGCATTTAGATGATAAAATTTTGTTTTCGGCAAGGTTGGCATCTTTTTCATCAAGCTATGCTCTTTTTTTTTAGTGATTTCGTGGAGGTACCTATATGAAGTGTCATTGTTGAGCCCTCCACAGGAGTTAGATTAAATGCCACCTGATGGGGTGGCTTTTAAGCTAGTATAACAATATTTGTTCATTCCTGACATTGCTTCATTGTATATTTTTAAGATGTTCATATGACCTTCTTTGTCCAGTAACACATGGTTTCTTTTCAGATCATAAATCTTTGTTATATCACAACAATTTGTTGATGTCTGAAATTTTTATATGATACACAGTTAAGTTGTAGGTCTTACACCAGCTCCTTGTCATATTTATTATTCATTATTCAACCAACAGTGTTAACTACTTTCTCATCAATTGTATAGAAATATTTTACTTTTTGATATTAACTCAATGATATTAACACAAAATAAGTAAATTATTTCAGACTAAAAACAAAAATGTCTGCTGGTTTATTGTTTCCCCTTGCCTCATATCATGAACAATTATTTTATAGCAAGTGGCTTTTTAATATCTTAATATGCAATAACTACAAAACTAAAAACTTAGCAAATATTAGTTGTAAATTTAATTTTTTTGTATTAAAAAAAAATAATAAAAATTGTCACAAAATATAACTTGATTCAGATAATTTTTTAAATAATTTTTATTTAACTTCAGACATTGCCTTATTTTATTTCCATTATATTTTTGAGAAATAATTTTATTCTTGTATATTTTACAGAATGCAAAATGACATAAAATTACCTGAACATCAAAGAAGAAAGTAAGAAACATTTAAGTATTATGTGTTGGAAATTGATGAAAATTACTTACAAACAATTGCTATGAAATTACCATCAGAATTAATAATCAAAATTAATTTTGGTATGTGTAAAAACAGTTATTTCAATTACAAACTGAACCCTTTATTTACTTAATCTAATGTTCTCATTGTACTGCCCATATCTTAAGATAGCTCATGTAGTTCTTATTTTTGGATTCCTATTATATATTAATTTTAGATTATTTATTTATTTATTTATTGTTTCCACTGAGTCCAAGTACACACCAGAGATTGAATTCACAATTACTATGTCACTAAATTCACAAATCAACACATTAATTCACTAAGCTATTGTACTTTAGGACAATTCTCTGTAGATAATTTGAAGCCTTAAACCTAACCTACCTGTTGATTAGTGCTGCCATTGCCTGTCATGCTTGACTGCTGCTGTTGCTGCAGATTTACTGCCGTTTGTCTTTCTTTCTTTATTAGCAGCTCCCATATCATATTTATTCATGTAGGTTACCTGGATTGACATACACCTGATGAAGGCCGGAGGGCACAATGACTAAAACATTATGACAACAACAATAACAAAGATGAAAACAATAGTCTGAATGTAAATAGTGTAAATAATAATCTACATACTGATGGAAAACTTGCAACACTTTGAAAAGGTGTTTCTATTTACTCAAGATTAAATGTACAATTAATATAGCTATATTGCATTAAAAGATCTCATATACAAATCAATATATGCTCAGGTTTTAAAATAAGGGGTGTATCAAGTTTTCAAACTCTATATTAATATACTGTATCTCTTCCACAGGCCATTTATGAATATAATTGTCTAGATGGCAAATCCATACCATAATACATTATTCCATGCTTCTTGCAATTATTAATGCACTACAGCAAGAGTTGTAGGTGGGCTAATGAGCCAGGCATCATCCCATCATATTGCAATGGGGGACAAGTGTAAGAATTGTGTTGACTAAAGATTTTCTCAAACATATTTCAGAGCAGGTTGAATAGTATGGGCATTATGTAGGTGGGCATTATCCTGCTGGAACTGAACATTGTTTTCCTGAACATTTTGAACAATATACTATGTTGGTGTTTGCTAGTTTGGAATAGTTGACTCATTTTGGGATAGTGCATGTGAATCATATCCTTTTGTAAGTAGACATTCAACAAGTTTTAGTAGGCTTGCCTTTCTTGTGTATTAAATAAAAATTCTTTTACATTTATTTGATGGCCTATTCTGTAGGAATTATGCTATTTTTTGTTGTTTCTTTTTTTTTTTTTTTTACAAAAATGTCTGGAACTAGGTTTTGGATAATAAGTACTGTTGGAAGGATCACATGAAATTTACCAGGTCATCTGGTTTGTTTAAGAAAGAGGGTCTTCGTGTAGCTGCCTAATTAATCAGTCCCCTTCTGGACAATTGTCTTTATAAGAAAACACACACATGCCACTTTAGCCAGGTCACACTAGGAAGTTCCAGAGATCATACTGCTATCTGTTTTTGTCAAAATTTTAGAAGCAGCTAAGTTAGCAACACACCAATATTTTAACTATTAGAATTCTGCAAGGAAAGAAAAGAAAACCATATAATTGTGATTGGTGAGACTTTTATATTCTCTCATCATTAATAAGTTGTAGATACCAACTGTTAATTCCTTCTGTTAGAAATTCTGATTTCAGAAATGTCTCCCGAAATTAAGAAAGTTGCCAGGATCAAGACACCACCTGGACCAAGAAAACCAGGCCCTGTTGCATAATTCATCCCAGTAGGTACACAACATAAAACTTTCCACTAGATAACACAAGACAGATGAAGGAGACAAACAATGAAAATAGCTACACCCAATTTTTGCATCCTTCATTGAATTGTAATACCGGGTATGATGATTCTGAGCTAAAATTAGCATTTAGCACATGGTGACTGGGATAGCCAATTATATTCTATGCTATAATCAACCAGGAAGTGATGATAAATGTATTACACATCATCTTCTGGTTATTATTGTCTTCCTTTTCTCTTCAGAGATTTATCTATGGCTTGAATGATGCATCTTGGTTGTGGTATAATGTAGCTCTTTTGATGTGATTGCAGCACTGAAAAAGTAATTTAAAGTAGGAACTCATGAGTGAAGTATTTAGGGTTGAATTAATGTGTGTTCAAGGTTTATGAAAATTAACCATGTCTCTAATAGAAATAAAAAAGTTAAGGTTAAGAAATAAGAATGATAAATTTGAATTAAAAAGAATTGCAGATTGTATGATAATGTGGATATAAAATTAAAACCTGTCCAAGTATATCATTTGATATTTGTAGAATGAGTAATACTAGGAAATATCCTATATTGAAAATCTTTTTTGATGCTAATAAAACATTAATGTTGAAATCCTAGATGTTCACATAATTTTCAAGGTTGGAAAAACCTTCAGATCTGAACAGTGATTCCATTTATACTAGTTTGTAACATTGGAGATAATATAAAGAAAGTTGCTCCAATGTGTTGATCATCAAAAAAGCTGTATTATGTAACAAAGAATCTACAAACTACTGATTCACACTCAGTGAAGCAGCTGATACTGGTGTCTTAGTGGCAATTATAATACAGGAGGTATTTCAATTGTTCAGGTTACCAGAAACACTGATAATTTATAATTTGCAGAAACTTTATATTCATCTCATCTTGCTAGTGATTGTCATCTGACATTGATGTGGCAAGAATAAATGTTTGAATTTGAGAAAACATTCTACATCAATGACTAAGATAGACAGACTTAAGTTTGTTGACATTTTTTATATACTTGTACATGATGTATTGTTAAAACCATAAGTTAAAATAAGAGGACATAAACAACATTAATGATGGCTTATCTCCCCTTGTTTATTTGTGTATTAGTGAAATGGTTGACTGATCTCTCAATCGTTACCATCATGATTATCAGCATTTTGTAGGTAGATATCTGAACATTCTGGATATACATCATATGGTCAGTGTTCTCTCCCCAGACACCAAACAAGAGTCATACGTTATGATACCCAACATTGTCATGACCTGAATGTCTTGGGTTAATACACTTTGGAAGATATCATGAGGTCTTCATGTAAATGTATATTCACTTACATGAAGACACAATCTTTTCTGATTGCTGAACAATACAGAGCACTATTCAATCCCACTTTTAACACCCTTAGAGACAGTGTTGTGGTGTAAGTAGAAGGTTGATACATGTGCTTGTAGTCCTACTGTAAATAAGTGATTCATTTTGCTTTGATCTGTTTTGTAAACATGCAATCAGCTACTGCTAACCATATATGATGCATTGAATTTTTTAATATTTTATTCACTTAACACAAGAGCCAGTCAAGGTAGTGGGTTACTGAATGTGATTGTTGTAAGTGTGTAAAAGGAGGATGTTTAGGATAGATAATAGTTGACCTTAGACTTGAAGAGATTAAGATTGTAGTAATTGGGAAAGCATTTTGGGGAGTCTGTTCTAGGGAAGAAACTGTTTGAGAAGAACTTCCTTCTTACCAGGAAATGAGGATGAGCTGACTCTGTGTATGTAACATGGTGCATTCTTACTGTGAAGACCTGAACTGGTATAACAATGGAATGTAACTCATCTGAAATCTGCCATGAAAATAGTGATGGAGTAGTGAGAAGCTATCAACATTTCATCTGTGAGAAAGGGGCTATAGGGTGGAAAATAATTCATCACCCACAAGGCTAAATAAGTACTTTGGAATTATGTCAAAGCTGGAAATTGAAATAGAGCATGGAAGAAGTAGTCCAGTACTTCTGGAGTACAAGGAACTGACCATTTTCCACCATTTTTAGCAATGGATCATATATAGATCTACAAGGTGTGAAGTGAGCTTAAGCCCCAATAGACTTTCAAATTTGATCTGGTACAATGTTCATCATGACTCAGATTTGACTAGCATCAGTAATGCATGGCCATCCAGAATCGGATCTACAGGTGTAGAGATGTAGATTTGTAGACCCTATTGCCACCATCAACATGTCATATCCAATATGTACAGCAATTCTCTGAAATGATCCTCCATCCTTTCAAATGTCTACATTCATTTAAGATAGCTCTAGCTAATCAAAAGAGGTATAATTCTCTGTGACTTGCTTGCACTGAACTCTTTCACTACACTGAACCTTAGTAATTATGCATCATTATTTAAAGCTCAAACACAGTTCATGGTTAAGACTAAAAATTTTATCAGAATATCTAGTATCATCTGGCAAGCACAAACTGTAACCAGATCAAAATTGGCTTTATGCTTTCTGGTGTTACTATTTTAATTTCCATCACACATTTTGTTGCTGATTTTGTTTTTATCCTGTTCTTTTTCTCTTTTAGCTACAAACATGCTCTTGATGGTTTATGGCGAGTCTTCCATGAAGAAGGTATCTGTTCTATGTATGGTGGAATGTCAATGGCTTGTTGCAAGACAGCCCTTGTAACTATTGGTCAGGTGAATTTTGATTCATTTTATATTCATAAGACCTCTCTATTCTCTTTAATACATTTTATTTTGTATAGATTAACACACATAATATTTTTATGGTCCAGAATGATGAGGATATTTCATCATTCTAAAAATAATCTTGCCGTCAGTAATGATAGAAAAGGATATTTTATCATCCTAACCCTCATCATTCTAAAAATAATCTTGCCATCAGTAATGATAGAAAAGAAGGATATTTTATCATCCTAAAGACCTTTCCACCACATGGAGGGACCAGTAGACAAGTACCAGTACATTTGTAAACTTTTTGTTTCTTTCCTTTCAAACACTCTATTGACTGCAACAAGTGTAGCTTGTTTGACACAGCATTAACTGTTGTCTCATTCTCCCTGTTTTTATCTCCTCATTCACAGCCAAAATTTACATTGTGAAAAGATAATCTCATGATAGAATATCTGACTCTGGGATCTGTTTTAAATGTATAACCTACAAAGCCGCCATTTTACTTTTTGGACAGTTTACATGTGAGGCATGTTCAAATTTGGGTTTGCCCTGGAGGTAAGTCATTTTTTTCTAGCACTGCAAAAAATGCATGCAATTCTGGGCCCCTTTGTCCTCTGTGGTAGTTCACTACATATCAAAGTTTTGTGTTATGTGTATGCTCATGATTGAGATTACTCAGGGCAAACTTTACTCCAAAGACAAATAGTACCATACTAAATCAAGTACAGTAATTTTTCTCCTTGTTTACAAGCAAAAAGTTTATCATGTGCTCTGTATTAATGTTAGATTGCAAGAATAATTTTAGTCTTTATTTTATATTATGAAATTTAGAATAAAGGCTGTAATAAGTTATTTGGATAAATCGTATACTGGACCCATCATACCAATCATTTGTGGAAGAACAATCAGCTCCAGATGCTTCTTCAGGACAAGTCAACATCTTTGAAAAGTTCAAAGATATATATCCTGAATACTGATTTTGAAATTGTGTGTGATATGATTATACCTCTTCATTCCAGAAACATAGAGGTGGACATTCTTCTTCAGCCTGCATAATTTGTCTTATCTTTGTGCTAATGCATTGGTGAAGCTAGTTACAGACAGATGTATGTGGTCTTGTTTGAAGGCAGATATTTGTTGGTAGTCAAAGACCTGTGTGTCATGTCAAAAGGACAAATTTGAAAGGCATGCCTGCCTGCCTGCCTCTTGGCCTCTTTCCATCAGATATTCAGTTTGCTCATGTACATGTAGACATAACTCTTCCCTCACTTACTGTGAGGGCATCCTGGGTAAGACAATAAACTACATCTGACAGCAAGACCTCTAATCAGGAGATTTTGAGGAGCATGGAACCACCTCTTAAATGCTGGTGTTCCCAGATTGACCCTGACCCAGGGTGATAGTACCTGTTAGGGTCTCAGCTATAGACAAATAGTTAACCCCAAACTGGGGTTAAAACACTATAAAAGTGTAAAAACAGGTTTTAATACTAGCAATACATTTTTGAAGAAAAAAATATCAGCAACAAAAATTTTGTCAGCATTAAATAGCCCATTGAGGTTGAGATGCCGTAAAACAAACCAAACCTACTGCGAGGGATATACTTATTTGCTGACATGCATTGTTTCACCTGCTGCTGTGAATCTCTTCCCATGTGAGACATTAGAACAGAAACTACTGCAAAAACCTTTATCTCCAGATGGGTAGCCTATTTCAATGTTCTGGCTGTCATTCCCACAGAGAGAGATTGATAATTTGAGTCTGATCTATTCAACCAAGTGATGAAACTTTTAGAGAATTAGGGCCACTGCATATCATTCAGAGGCCAGCGGCTTGGTAGAAAGGTTCGACTGAACAATAGCAGACTAGTCAAAAGGGCTGAAACATCTACTTCGACTCTTTACAGAAGTAAAAAATGATATTCAACATTCATCTGTGAAGACAGTGTCACCACAGTAAAACTCCCTGGGCGGTTTTGTTCCTTCAGCCACACAAAATGTGCTGAACATCACCCTCCTTTGTTGACTGGCAGAGGGGAAAAAATGGCCAGTTTGGCTTACAAACAACCTACATAGAATACAAATCCTATATATATATATATATATATATATATATAAAGGAAAAGCTCAGTACATCATTAAAGAGTTCAGTAATAATTTATTTTTTATTTCAGACAGACAACTGCCTCATCAGACTGGCATTATAAAATGGTATAAATCTTCCAGACAGTTTATTAAAATTTACAAGAGGCAATGAATAAAAGATTTGACCTAGAAAAATCCTTTAAGAGGAAGTGGGTGGAAGAAAAAAAAAAGGTTTCAACCCAACGAGTAGGACTGGTAGAGTGAAATACATTGAAAATAAATCAAGTTTATATCGTCATCTTCTAATCTAAAAAATTATCATCTTATATATATATATATATATATATATATATATATATATATATACACACGCACACATACCTAAACTCCTGCAATCATACACACGTTTTGTGCATGACTAAGCCAAATTAAATGCATTGCAGCCACCATACAAAAGACCATGTAAGAATCTAAAGAGTCATACTAAAGTTTTTACTTTGTGTATTAACAATGCAAACCAAAATATTTGGAAAGGCTGAAGCTGAAGCCAGACTTTCTGGATGCTGCATGGCTGACTGTAGTCAAATTGGTGACTACATCATCCCCAGTAGCAACAGATTTACCAAGTAAAACAATGACCAGATCTGGATGTCATATTAGATGGCTAGATATTTCTTAATGTGCTTTCTCTTTTTGGTGGCCATTCTTTTTCATATGCACTCTAATATAGGAAGAACTTTTTGTGCTAATAAATGATATTGTTTAAACATTCTAGTACTCTTTAATGTACACTGAATGTGTATTCCTGTTCTACATTGTATTTTCACAAATTATGTTCTCTGCTTTCTTTTTCACTCTATTGCATCAAGCAGAATAAAAGTAACTCCTTGCAGGTTCTAGAACATGTTTAGAGAGGTGGCACTGTAGGGATCCAAAAGGCAATTCTATCCCTTTGGTTGAGATGTAATCACCTGGGGCTGGTGAGTGATTTCAGTTCATAGAGTGATGAAAGCCAGTTTTTAGTTAGTAAGACATGCATGCCCACTACTATATAGTCTGCAGTGAAAGCAGGTGTGACAAGAAAACCACATGATCTCACTAGATATATACAAGACACCAATGACTTGCATGTAAGAGATCCTTCATATACAAACATGTTTTATTCAGGCTCATAATATCAGCATTGGAAAACTCTTTGGTGATGGGAGCTGTGCTTCTTTGGGAATTTGTTGTATTTTCCTTATCCATTAGCTTTTGATTTTGACTGCATGGTTGAGTGACCCATATGAGATATCAGTCATTGTTAACTGGCTGGATCATATGGAGTAGACATTTCACTAATTCCAGGGTGGTTGAGTAACTGTAGCTGCAAGACTGCAATGGTTTTAAAATCAGACATTTCCTTGGTGAACAGGAAAGCCCACTTGTCTGAAACATTTGGTTTTGAAGTGTCAGAGACCTGTATTTTAGTGGGAATAGTTCCACAACATGAAAGTCTGGAGTTGTTTTTAGTTGACAGAGGCTGTTTAAGATGCAAGCCATGTACAAAGACTTTATAGGTAGTGAGTACAATTTAAGGAGAAAGTAAAATACTAAACATGTAAGAAGGTATGATATTTATTATTGTATTATTGTTATTTGCATTTCGGTTAATATCAGCATTACAAATATGTAAATAGGATATTTGTAAATGATTCTACAATTTAAAAAAAAACTTTTTATAAGTATTTAATTTGAAAACTATTTACTTTCAATCTTTATTAATTTTTGCTAATAAAATGTATTTGAAAAAAGAAAAACTATTGGTACTAATCTAAATTACTGATGATTTCTATTTTCAGTTAGCCTGTTATGATCAGTTCAAAAGTATGTTGTTATCAAACAGCTACTTTACTGATGACATTCTCACACACTTTACAGCAGGTATCATGGCAGTAAGTGCAGTTAAGATTTGAATTTGTTGGAAAAGTATTTACTTTTTCTTTATAATTGTTTTAAGTAAGAATATATCAAGTTCCCTATTGCTATTGTACATTTTTAGATCTTAACTATCATTTATGATCAGCATTGTTTTGATAATATCTAAGTTCTTTGAATTTTTTGTGTTGTCTATAACTTTAAAAGATGTCATGTGAACAGTCTTTATGTTCTGTGAATGTTCCAGCTAATCCATCAGTCAGCTTTTGTCAAGAGTATAATATATAAGAAAAGGAAAAAACTGGTGACAGAAAAATGTCTTAATATACCAACTAGATAATACTAGATAGATAAAGCCATACCATCAGTCATGTACCCAAATCACTTAAAGCTGATGAAATAATTTCACATTCAGCTTCATTTTAGTAACAATACCCTTTGGAAAGGGTATTGATATTAACTCCTATAAACACAAATATGTAGAAGAAATTAAACTAGAATTCTAAACTTATATGGTGCTAACAATTAAATTCACACCTGCTGAAGCACAAAATAGCTTCTGTATTTACACTTTCTCATAACATTTTATTTTCATTAAATGGATATTTTTCATCTCAGTAGAATTATTAATGAATCAATAAGGTAAAGTAGCATGTGACCGTAGAGACAACATCTTTTATAAGTCAGAAAGATTTATGTAAGAAAGGGGAAAACTGAACTAGATTATAAAACTTCTCAAAAAATGTCTGCCAATCATCTTTATCTTATCTATAATAACAATGGAGATTTCTTTTCATTTGTGTGTCCCGCACTCAAATGACGAAGCCAAATGACCTCATTTTTAACATGACAAATAGTTGCAATGTAGGATCTATGAGGTTGATATAAGAGACTATTTGAGGTCATTAAAGAACACAGCATGCCATTTTTAGCCTTATGAAGCAAGGAAGATAGTCAAATTCAACATTTGAAGTCATAGGAAATCATTGAAGGTAGAATTAGTCTGCAGCTTTTGTGATTGGTTTTGCAGGCAAACAATTACATTCTTAGAGGTAAATTTGTACATTGGCAGAAAAAAAACTATACAATATGTAAGAGTAGATTACCAAATGCTAATTTTGGATTATTTTTTTTTGAAAATGTGCAATCTTGAAAAAAATGTTTTCAGATAAAAATTGTAAAATTTTCAAGTTTAAACTTTTTTTTTCAGTTATTTTAAATGTAAAAAAATTGCTCAGAACTATATAAACTAGCATTGGCTCTGCTTCAAAGAATGACATAACTAAAGAAATAAACTTACAGCTGTTGCTTTAGATTTCTATAGAGGTTCAACAGTACAAATCAATTGACAGGAATTACTGAGTCTATTTTGAACTCATCTAAATTTCTCAGCTCTTTTGAGTTGTTTGGTTTTCCATCTCCCATTCTTCAAATAAAATCTGGGATGCCTGTCGTGTTTCTCAATTCTTGATCTAGTAAAACTTGCCTTGTTGCCAAGCAATTTTCTCCCACATTCCATCAAGGCAACTATCATCATTGGGTTAGGTAAAAAAAAAAAAGTAGCATGTGTTTATTTCCAGGATGCCGATAATTTCAACAGACACACCTTCTGAATTCAAATTATTTATGATCTCACCCTTACTTTTCATGCTTTTCCCATGGTCAGTGTAATGTTGGTTGTTCTGATACCTAAACAACCATTTCATGCTGGCACCTATGACATGTAGCCAGAAGTTCTTTCATTTGATAGATTGTTTCAGAAGAAATATATCAAATAATATTTTCTCCTGGGTTGTTATATTTTAAATAATTTTTTCCAGGACAATGCCAGGCAGGTGTCCTTGCATATAGGTTTTATGAATGTTACCTTTTAAATGAATTTATTTCCTCTGATTAGTTTTTTAAATGAGAATTGAGAGGCAGATAAATTTGAAAGTTTTTTTTACATTCTTTTTGTTTTAATAAAGCATTTCATTTTACAATATATTAAAGTAATTTTGATGATTAAATTCAATTAATCTAATTTATAATGCTTGACATGATCTTAAAAATGAATGGTTTATAATATATAATGTATATTTCATAAAAAGTACAATAAAATCTCATGTTAATGCAAAAGCAAATTTATTAAAATTATCCAATAAAATTAGAGAAAACTGATTAAGAGAATATTGACTATGAATTTCAGGGTGTTTCTGCCACAGCTCTCACAATGCCTGTTGATAATATGAAAACTAGAATGATGAATGCTGTTCCAGGAACATACAAAGTGAGTAAAATCATTGATTGACATTATACTTATATTCCAACGCCTGATACCCATTGCTCAAATCTGTTGCCTGTCATTATAAAAATATACTTTATGCACTTTCTTCTCAAGCATTTGAACAAAACAATATACTTGTGAAAATTATGTACACATTCCTCTAATCTAGCTTTGAAATTACTGTTGTGTAACTTGCTGCTTGCAATCTGAAAGACTTGCCCCCACATGAGATTGTGGTATGATGTCGTAAAACACTTCTAAATCTATTGATTTAGACTAGTGGTGTTTAAATGGCATGTGTTTGTTCATTTGTTCTTTAATCTGTCCACTTTTCTTTAAAATCTTGAAAAGATTTTATATTTAAAGTTGAGTATATACTTTGGTTATTTTCTAGAGACACAGTAAAACTTATAAAATTGTTCCAAATTGTTAGCTTAGCAACTTTTGTTTTGCATATACTAAATTATCTCAGTCATAAGATATAATAAACAAATAATTGATTTTTTTTTTTTTATCATTTCACCCTAAGAATGGTGAAAATGCCACTAGCATGCGGCGGGGGGGGGGGGTTACAGAGAGTGAAAGTGAGATAAAAACTGTATAGTGGGGATTGAGGAAAGAATAAAAGTTGAACAGGGTTTAAGACAACAGATGATGGTGATTGATGTTGCATTTAAATTTTTGAAGATTGTAGTTATCAAGAAAGCAAGTAAACAGAAGGGAGTTTCACAGGTGGGAAGTGTGAGAAAGGAAACAGTTGGAGTAGAAGTGGTAGTTACATTTAACTATTTCAACAGTTAAAGGGTGGGACCTAGATGCCAATCTAGTAGCATGCTTAAATTCATGTAGTCGGGACACCAGGGGAAAAAAGCTCATCAAGGCAGTAGCCATGAGAATATTTGTAGAAAAGACAGAGGAAACCACATCATGTCTGTGAGAAAGTGACTAAAGTCAAGATGCCAAGTCTGAATTGATTACATTGCAGATCCTTCTTTGGATTTTGTCAAGAACCTAAAGATGCACCAGACTAGATATGGCAACAGTATTCAATAAACAAACACTTTATTTGTAATGATACTTTATACTGAACATGCCAAAACCACAAAAACATTTTAATATTTATATTATTATTTTATTTTCTAAAGAGCCTTTTTGCAGTTTCCAAGGATATAGCTAAAAATGGACCATCTTCATTTTATAAGGTTTGTAATTTTGTTTCTTTTAGAATCTGAAAACAACTTTTGTAGTTATACTCCATCATATCTTACCAAAAATCATCCACATATAAGATAAATTTTTACAAATAATCTGTTAAGTATATTCCTATCTATTTCTTGTGAAATTTAATCAGTTTTAGTTGGCTCATTCCATTAAGTTACAGATTAAAAATAAATGTGTTTTCTTAAAATTTTCAAACTAAAATTTACATTCTGAGAAAAGGACAGAATTATTTTCTTATTTTGTCTTTAGATATGTATGATGGCATTGAAAGTAGTGAGCAGTCAGGTTTACAGTATTTTTTTATCATTTATACATAAGAAATTAAGTTTTACTTTGTTTACATTGATTTCATTTATTATTTCTTGAATTTAAATGAATTTGAAATTTATTTAAAACAAAAGATTTTAACTCCAAAAAATCTATTACATTTTGGTGAAATAATTTTGTTTTCTTATTACAGGGATTTATGGCTCGTCTAAGTTATCTTGGTCCTCACACAATACTGACATTTATTTATTATGAACAACTGCGAATCCATTTTGGGTATCAAACAATGGTCAACTGAATGTGACTTTTTTGCATCAAACTTTTTACAAACTCTTAATAAAATGAACGAAATTGCAATTAAGGTGAAAAACAAAATTTTAAAGAAGGGAAAATTCTGTTGAAGAAAATGAATACCTTAAGTTGTTTAACTACTTAAAAAAATCCTCATTTGAAAAATTAGCATAGCTACAAAGAATATTTTAATATTTGATAAAATGGAGATCAAACAAAAAAAAATAGTATTTTGTGCATGAAAATAATCATACCAGAAAGTGATAAGAAGTATTAAAATAAAATGAATACAAGATAGGATACAAATTTGAGGGTTTTATTGAACACAAAACAATGCCATCTGAATGAATTTCAATGGCAAAAAATGTCAAAGGAGAGGTAATTTATACATGGGAGATAATAGTAAAATATTAAGAGGCTTTGTTCATTAAGCATTTCCTTATACAGCACACAATACTGAACATAAAACACAGTGCAAATTCAACCATTAACATCTACTATGAGTATTCATCATAAATATAAACATAATATTACCATAAGTATTTTTAATTAGATCTTGAGACCACATTCACATTCTCACAAAAAAGATTTAAAAAACTGAATTTGTAATAGCCAGAAATGTTTGTTTGTTTTATACATGTTACTTTGAATATGTAGATATTTCTCTTAATTTAGTGTATAGGAGCAGTAATTCATTATTCAGACATGTATTGTTAAATATAACTGACAATGAATGTCTATTATGTTTTATCAGGAGCTGTTCCAAGCTTTGTATATTAGATTTAATTTCAGGAGAAAATAAGGACAAAAACTGTCCAATGTTTGGATATTTCTTTATTGTGTTGTTCATTGATCTAAGCTTTTGGCTCACATTTTGAATTTACAACCTGTGTCTGATGTTCTGTTATCATTGCATAGCAAACTTCTATGTAAACAAAATAGGATGTCATCTTTGACAGTGAACATCTATGTCGTACAGTCCAAATAACCACTCTAAGGATGGCTTATATGAGCTGAAAGCTTAGATCGATGAACAACACAATAAAGAAATATACAAACGTTGGACAGTTTTTGTTTTTATTTTCTCCTGAAATTAAAGCCAATATATGAAGACTGGAATGGCTCCTGATAAAACATAACAGACATTCGTTGTCTGTTATATTTAATAATACATGTCTGAATATTTCTCCTATTGTACATATGATTGGTTAAAATGTAATACCTGTAGATAGATTTAAAAAATAAGGAATTTATCAACAATATTCAGACACCATATTAATAAACTCTGTCTCATTGGGCATTAACATAAGCCTTTATTCTCGCATGCATACAACTTTTTTTTAATCATTTCACCCTAAGCAAAGGAATGAAAGCCTCTAAGATGCAGGAGGTTATTGAGAGTGAAAGAGAGGACAATTAAAGAACAGAATTCAAGGAAACAAGAAATGATGGTTGATACTGCATTTAAATATTTGAAGATCGTAGTTGACAGAAAAGTAGGAAGCTGGAAGAGAATTCTACAAGTGAGAAGTGCAGAAGAAGAAACTATTAGCATGGAACTTATGGTTAAAACTAGTAATTTCAACAGTGAAATTGGGAGACCTAGCTGCCAATCTAGTACTGTACTTAAGTTCGTGAAATTGAGGTACCAATGAAAGAAATGCTCATCAGAACAATTACTGTGAAAATATTTATAGAAAAGGGAAAGTGAATCAGTGTCATGGCAGTGGGAAAGTAACTGAAGGCAAGATGCCAGGTCAGAAGCAATAATGTTGTAGATTTTTCTTTGGATTTTGTTAAGAATCTTTAGACATAAAACAGAAGTACCAGACCAGATGTAGCAGCAACATTTGATGCATGGTCAAATGGTAGACTTATAAATGTGCAAAATAGATTCTGGCTAGAAAAATTGTCTAGCACAAAATAGTGAACTGATTTTCTTAGCAGCAAAATTAGCAATTGATTTAATATATTTATTTCACTTCATGTCACTTGAAAACATGAGACCAAGGCACAGTCAGATGATCTCCTTAGTATCAGCCATGGAAGGCAAAAAAGGTTCTTTAAGATAATTAATAGAGAGCAGTTTCATTTTGGAGGTGTTAAAATTAACAAGCCACTTTTTGCTCCAGTCTGCAACAGATTAATATTTTTTGTCAATTTGATTTTATTAAACCTATCAGACTAATAAGACAGGAGTAAATAATTGTCATCAGTGTAGTCAAGACCTAATGACATTGTGAAGGCCATTGATGAACTTCACAAAATCATGCCATATACATGTTCAATGGAGATAGGTCTAGCAATTACACCAACCAGGGAAGTTATCTAATATCGTACAAACCATGTTGATTAATGATTAGAATAAATTGGATAATGTGATAAAAGGAATTATGATGTATTCTTGGGTCAGTAACTATGGCTATAGAGAATGACCAATGATCACCTGCTTTTTTTTTTTCTTTTTTTTTTTAATTTCCTTATAATTTGACTTTGTGCCACAATTTTCAAAGAAAATTTTTTTCATGACAATAAATCTACCATAAATACAACATTCAAAATGGTTATAAACTGAATTATTAAAGATGAAGAAATAAAGCACATTTTTACATCTGATTATAAGATTTTGACAAACAAAAACTGAATACAATTATATTTGTTTATGAAAATTACTTAATGTCTTTAACATTCAACAGCAATGCATATTCAGCCCTGTTATGGAGTGATTTCACAGTGGAGGCTTGTATTTGTACTAAGTCGGCCCTAAAATAGGTTCGACGTACAAAATGTTAGGAACTTCATATAATAGGTATGACGCAGAGTAATCTAGTTGTGGTTGCTGATACTTTAGTATCCGACCTACTGAGCGACTTGTTACGCTTACTACTCCTACTTATTATAGATGGGAGAATCTATTAACTATAGAATAGGTGTGTTCCACTATAACAATCCCAAATCCTATCAACCTCCTCAGTTTCACTATTACTAATAATAATATCTAATCTGGGAGCACTTACAGCCCTCCTAGACCTGCCAGTATTTACAAGTATGGCTTCTCTGCACATTCTCATCAGGATGTTTTTATACTATTTGAGCTGGATGTTGCCAACACTTTCATCTCGGCAATTGGAACTAATTCCCCATTCATTGTTGAGACTGATACTTCTTATAACACTATAGCCATTACATTCAACCAAAATATTTGGCCACTTAAATTTTTCCAAACAGAGTACACATACATTCATTAATTAAAAAAAGCAACATACACAAGTAGAAACATTAGTGCTTTGGTAAACATTTTCAACTGATCACTGATCAAAAATTGCTGTCATTTATGCTTGACTGTAAATAAACAGAAAATTTTAAAAAGACAAAATCGCAAGATGGTGACTCTTACTAACAAACTATTTCTACAATATTATTATTGTGCACGCAAACAAGATCATGCTGATGACACATTCTCTAGAAGTTATTGTTTAGCTACAAACTAATTTTCATGATTATTTGTACCTCACTGTATGTAATAAAAACTTACCTTATTCAATCAAGAATAAAAGGATGACAGCAACTTTTACAACTATTACTGTTCAAATATATCAATACCGAGGCTGGTAGGAGATATTTGAATTTGACATTAAATCTTTCAAATGGTTGTGTAGACTTGTCCACACCTGTTTTGCCTTCATTAAGTGCATTTGTGACTTCAGGTGTTATAAATGTGTATGGTAGCATGAAACAAAACAAGTGCCATCAGTAAGGTGAAAGGGAAAAAAAAAAAAAGATTGTTAATATAAAATTCCTTGTATTGCCAATACAGAGGATATGAGCAGAATGTCTTTTTGTGGACAAGGGAAGCAACTTGAAGGAAGGATAGACTTGATAGGGCTTGGAGTTGAAGTATGTGTTGGGTCAGTTGCCTGAAGTTACTTGTGGTGACATTGAAAGCTTGCCCATTCATGACAATTCTGTTCTAATTGTTAAAAGTGGCATTCTTAGAAGTAAATGTTGTGGATCATGAACTATTTTTTCATGTTTTTCTTAGTTGGCAACATTTGTGATTGTTTAGTTTTGTATTGTAATTTATATTTTTCTTTTTTGAGGGGATTTGTTTTGTGAGCCAGATGTGATACTTAGAGCCCCTGTATAGAGGATTACTTTTTAAATTTTTGGTTTTGTTTTCTTAGTGTTCACATTTAGTTGAGTGAATCAGAAAGTGATCCAATTTGAAGCAGAGTATAACATAGATTCATGTCATCCTTTTGAAATACAATATAGCAGATTTACTTTTTATATTGAATGACATTCCACACAGTTATCTGTGCCAACTATTATGAATTTTTGGAATGCTTGCATGCATTCATTCAGTTCATTTATGTTCAAGGAGATAACATAATTAGCTAGGCCCTCTTTCCTCATTGTGTCCTAGAAATTTCAAGTGTCTCTTTCTGATTGTTAGTTTCTGAGCTCTTATTTTAATTAATACTTCCTTGTTGCTCACATGCTCAGTTCCTTGTATTCTTAGTATTTATTTGTAGAACCACATTCCTGTCATATCAATTTTCTTTCTCATATGTGAGGAAATTACCTAGTATTCATTGTAGTTAAATATAATTGGCATAGATGGCCAACAAACAAAATTTACAATAAACAATAAGAAAAAGAAAAGAACAGGGCAAAAATAATATTAAACAAACAATATATATATATGCAAGACAGAACTAGGCAAAGTAACAGTAGTAAGGCAGAAGGTTCACAAGATAAGAATGGTGTTAACATGCAAAAGGGAAACCAACAAGTGATTGCAATGTTCTGATTTCAAGACAAGAAAGGACAGAAATATTTATTTATTTAGCAGTGTATACACACTGTGAAACAAGGCTGAAGGGAGAGGAGAGAAAGGCTGGTCAACATTGTCTATCCTACTCCTAGCTAATCGTATTCACAACGCATTCACTCTAACAAATGACACAATCACCACAAAGTTCTTGTTCCTCTCCATTCAATCTGAACAGGTACCTAATAATACACCCATGATGGTAAAATAATTTCTTGATATATATGTACAGTTTATTTATTTTTTTTACAAAACTATATAAAAATTTACCTTTTATTTTGATTAAATGGGCTTTTCATATCATATGTAAAACCCATTTAATCAAAATAAAAGATAAACTAAACATTTAAAACTCTGTTAGGAACTGTCCAATCCACAAAAATGAGAATGGCTGCTGTATTCTACCAATAGACAGAATCAAGAAACTTGCTAGTAGTGGGGGAGGGATGAAAACAATATTGGAGTGGTAAAATGTAAAAGACTGGTCTAATCAAGATAAAAAGAAATGAGTAGCTAGGGAATCTTGCAAGGGACCATAATGGAGGAAGACTGGAATGGCAGTCACACATGTTAACTAGGAGAATAAAAGAGATTAGCTTAACCAGGGATGTGATCTGCTAGGAATTTGCTAAGTTGTGACTTGAGAAAACTAAAAAAAGGAAATCAAGACAGGTTTGTGTGAACCAGGCTCACAACTAGCACTCATCTTTTGCTGAAATCTTCCAAAACCTATTGCTTTCTATCAATTCTGATCTTCATCCTGAGCTGGTGCCCAAAGAATCCAATCAAATCCTGATGAGAATAGTATTGTTCCATAATATTTTTGTTATGGCTAGTGGCATGCAAAACACCGACTATTTCATCCAGGACTATGGATGGGGGTGACACATTTTTGCAGACATGAAATCAATGGACACAGCACATTCTGGGCCAATCACCAGGTAAGCAAAAACTCAGGAATTTACATGCTTGAAATTGTGTCAATAGCTCGTTTCAGGAAAGTAAATCAGACATTTATAAGTTTGTAGTTTTAATGAATTGTCATGAAAAGGGAATGTTCATACAACGGATTAAATGGTCTGACACAAAACATTAAAAAATGTATAAAACAAAGGAAAGAGAGTTTAAAATACTTAGCTTTGGATTGTTGAAAGAAATTTTGAAGTGCTTGGTTAAAAGCTGATAATTGACGAGTTATTTAAAACTGGCAAAAACTTCACCTGACTTCAGACACTCTTATCAATTTAATTTAATTTTTCTCTTCATTTTATATCAAAATGAATTTCATATAGGCTTGGGACTTTTCTTTCTTCTGAGCTCAATGGCTAATACTAACATGACTCTCTTATCAATGATTGTCTATGAAAGTATCAAAATATGTGAAACAAGTATAATGTGATATTATTTACCTTTTCTTATGAAATAAATTTGAAAAATCTTTTTAAGAATTTATAAAAATTTACAAAATTATCAAAATGTGAACCAAGTACAATATCATATTATAATGTAATATTTACCATTTAGAAAATAAATAACTATGAAAACAAGGTTTTTATTCATAATATAAAAGTATCTATGAACCACAGAAGAAGAAAATTTAAATAAAAATGATTTTTTCTGCACATTATACATTTTCATCTCAAATTATTTCATATCTCAGAATACTTGTTTTAATTTTGCAATCTTTTTTATAATCGTTATCTAGGATCAAGGATAACTAATCAATAGAAATGCAAAACCTGAAACTAGCAATTATGGGTTACTCCTCTTCCTACTCTTCCATTTTTTTTAACATAATTTTGAAAAATCTTTTAAAACTGTGCTAATTTTTTAAAAATGCCTAGAAAATCTGGCAATAAGTTATTTCAGACAAGTACTGACTGTTGAAGAAATATTAAATCAAGAATGGACACTAAACACCTTGAGTAAGGCAATTGGCAAACTGTTTTCTTTAGAATGGTTTAGAATACATTGGTTAATTGCCCATCAATTGAAACTTTCATAAAATGGTAATAAAAATAAAGATTTCATTACAGTTGGTTCCCATATTTTTATAATTTATGAATAAAAAATTGTTTCCATATTTATTTTTTTATAAATTGGTAAATGACAAACATTCATTACATTGTAGTTGGTTTGCATTTTTTCTAATGCTTTAAATATAAAATTATTCCTGTAAACAATCTATGAATTAAATAATAGTATATTTTTGTTGTAAACTCTCAAGAACAAAGATAATGTATAAATTCACTTTTATATATTTGGTTTTAATTAAAATTCTAACGATCGCTTTTTGTAAACATTGCCGAGGAAATAAAAGGAGTATACAGTAAATGGCAGTGTCAAGGAAATAACTGTCCTAGCCATTTTTATTTTGCAGGCACAAAAGTTAAACTTTGCCAACATTTTCTTGCATAATAAAATCAGCAATAATATAGCTTAATAAAAATTAAACAAATGTTTCTTTTTGTGAGATAGCTCATTTATTTTGATTACCATTATAGCAAATGAGTCTAATCTTTATCATGTATATTTTGAATCATATTTATAAAACCAATTGCGTTTTAAATGTTCCATTAACACTCTATTTTAGTATAAATATATTGTGGCGTTTCTACTACGTCACCAGAATTCAATCAATGAAAATGGGTTGTTCACCCGTCATGTGTTGTGGACTCTTGTGGTGACGTAGCAAAGTGACTCCCTACCTTTCACATAGATATGCATTGCATTTTGCCTATGCGGATTTTTATTGTGGTAATTTTGAAAAGTAGTATATGTATTTCGTAATTATAATTTACAATTAAAAATAAATTATTATTCTAAAGATCATTTGCTCTGAAACTATCAATCTATTTTACTATTTTAGTTTTCACTAAAAACCTCTGGTTGTAATTTCATCGTCTCAGTGCTAGGGGAAGTAACTCTCAAGTCTTGGTAGTTAACGCTTGATGATGACCTAGTCGTCTCATTAGTTCATTTTTCTTAACCTTTGTTGTTTTTTGTCAAATAAGAAAGCAACAAAGCGACTTCTTAGTTAAAAGTTGTGAGTTGCACAACCGACGTCAATTATAATGTCCGTGGATAAGAGTAAACGTGTAGGTCGCTGGTATTTTGGAGGAATGGCAAGTGCTTGTGCAGCATGTTGTACTCATCCTTTGGATTTACTCAAGGTAACCTGCTGCACGCGGACTAATTTTTTTTTTTATTCTTTGTGTAAAACGTTTTGCTTTTTATTATTTTCTTACCAGATATTTTCTATTTTTTTAAAATTTTAATCTTAGTCTTGATAAATCGTTATAGATTCAGTGTGTAAATCGATTTTCATAAAAATACGAAGAAAAGCTTGTTGCTTTATAAAAGCACTGAGCCTCGAGTAGTATCGTGTAAGAAGAAGCATCGAAATAAAAAATAAATAAAATTTTTAAATACGTTTATCTTAAAACGTAGCATAAATGTTGACGTTTGTTTACTTTTGTTTTAAAAATGAAAACTCTTTCTTTATCTGAGTTTTTGTGTGCGGGAGCATAAATTTAGTAAAGAAAGATTTTGGCGCGATCCTTTTTTTAAGTTTTATAATCGATTGTTATATTTTTTATACAAGGAAACACATTTTAATTTTGTAAAAGAGGACAGTGCTTAAAAATCTAAATAAATTATCATATCGTTCCATTATTATATGTTAACGAAAATAGACACAAATTTTAAAACATTTCAACAAGTATTTGTTAGGAGCAAAATTATTGTATCGTTCAACATTTTGTAATTTGTGTTCAGTTAGTAAATACCAGTATTAAAAAAAAAAAAAACACCAAAAAGATTTGTAAGCTTTAGCACCCACTTTTTATTTCCAACATTTACCAGCTTTTTTCGGATTAAGAAATAGTTATTTATGCAAGGACAACACGTTACTTATTTTTAAGTCTTTGAAGCAAAGGTCATTTATATGACACGACTAAAGAAAGCACTTTTCGTATTTTCTGCAGTTGCTTAAGAAGGTTGTTAAAGGTTTGCAAACTTTTATAATAAAGAACGTAAGGGGAAAATAGTAATTTTTAATTTAATTCCTAGCTATATATACACAATATAATTGAAAATAATTTTTTTTTCTTTTCTTTGCTTCCAAATTCAACAAAGAACAACAGGAAAAAAACAGAAAAATCCTCTTCTTTAAGTGTGCTTTGAAAATCATTCTCTTTGGAAGGAACAAACTAATATTTTCTATTATTTATTTTAGTAATAAAATAAATCCTATTTAAATTAATCATTTAGGTAATATTTTATTAAACTTTTACTTTATGTTAATAACATGTTTTAAATTTAATTTAGAGAGTAATTATCAAATTGTTAGTTTAAAAAAAAAAGTAGTTGTTAAATAAAAAAAAAAAGTGATTATTTTATTAAAAGAAATGTTAAATGAAGAAAATATTATTTTCTCTGACTATTTTTTCTTATATTTCTTTTTACAGCCACCAAAATATGACCTTAAAAAATTCAGCTTGGTGACATACATTTAAATTTATCATATGTATGTCACCAAGCTGAATTTAAAGAAAAAAAATAAACAAAGCTACAAAGAAATCATTTATGCTTTGTAGCTTTGTTCATTTTTAATCCTTTTTCTAGTAAATAATACAGTTTAACTAGAAACTAAAAAAAAAAAAACATTCATTGAAATAGTTTATGAAAATTGGAAACAATTAAGGTGAATTGTAAGTTAATTTGAAATAACTTATTTGAGGCACTTATTGCGAGCAAGAATAGACAAAATGAGAGATCAATGCAATGCAACATTTTTCACATAAACAAAACAATTTATCAAAACATAAGTAATGTTCTCTAATATACTGTGTATTATAATTCCATAATTTTTAATGTCTTTGGATGTAGTATCCGAAACAAAAGTAAAGATGAGACCAAAAGTGGAAGTTTTTGTAATTTTTAATCAAAGACTCGTTTTGCCAGAAAAAAGCCGCAAAGTTTCATTTTAAAATATTCCTTCCATTTTTTTTTTTGTCTCATCATCTTCATAATTTTTCATTTTTTTTATTATTATTTTTCCTTCACTATTCTTGTGCTTTTACCATTCACTATTCTCCGTTCAAAATTTGTATTTTGCAAATTCAGAAGAAAATGCTTACAAAACTTTTGTTCGTTTTTTAAGTGGAAACATAAAAAAAATCTACTTTATCTCTGTGTTCTCAATTTTATAAAAATATAAAAGTTAAGAGCACATTTTTGTTTATGAATGAATTGTTGAATGTGTCCTGAAGCCCTTCTTTTTTTCTTTTTTTAACGCTTGAAGCTTACAACCATTTTGCTGATCACCTTATTTCTTTGTCATTTAAAGTAATGTATGTGTTACTGTTAGCAAAATGAGATTTCTCCATAGTGTTGAAACAATCACACGAATAATAAAATTCTCAACTTAATCAATTATTTATATATTGTTCGGATTGTTGTCCTCATCTTTGTTGCCATATCCACGACATTTTGGTCATTGTACAACAGTCCAAAAAATGACAAGACCTCACTCATCTCGGAAATAAACAGATATCTCAACTCAATCCAATGTAAATATGTTTGAATTTGTTTCTCTGGCGTGGAGAGTTCAACTATAACTGTTAGAGGATCAAATAGAATCTAAAAATTTTTGCATTCTCATTTTAAAAAAATAAAAATTGCTAGCTTTTTAACTACGATATACAAAACGGTTTTGCTTTTTGGTTTGTATATCGTAAAAACACTTCTTGATTGTACAAAAAAAAAAAAACCGATTGCACTCATTGCAGTGTTTTTGTCTCCCTTTAATTTAACGTATTTGGGTTGGAGCATTCAAATCCTTTCATTAAATCACATTACAAACTAAAAATGCTGTAATAACATTTTAAAGTAAAAAAATGCGGCGCTATTACACTTTCGCACCTCTCCTGTCATTCGTTCCTATCGTTCAGAAATGGGTTACCCCCAGGTACAACAGTCTGGAAACCGTTGTTTGTTATTGTTAATTAATATTTAAATTAAAATATAAATCCCGAAAAACAAAATAAATGTTTGTAAAAGCTTAATCCTAAACAATGGGGAGTGCAAAAATGTAATAGCGCCAAAAATGCTATAAATATTGAATACATATTTTAAATAAGCTTTGAGAACTGTCCAGAGTGTTACCAACCACCTATTCTCTAGCTAGAATTTTAAAATCTTTTTCTTTGTTGTTACTTTAAGGAACTTGGATAACATTTTTGAGTAATGAATTTTTTGCTTGATTTTCCAAATTAAATCATGTTTGAATTCTTTGTGAATAATCAGTTTTATTTTTTTAAATGTCAAATAATTTAAAAATTTAGACAACTAGTGAACACGTCAAAATAATGAAATTTCTTTCATTTCTGTCTGTCGCGTTTATTTTCGAGGTTATTTCGGTAAATTTGCTTTTTAAACCCCGCGCTAAATATCTATTACATTTTTCCAAAATCGTCATATTTCCGTATAAATTAACATGCTGAACTCGAATTAACAATTAAATTATGATGATATTATGGAATCCCCCATACTTGCCTGTCACCCCCTACAGGAAGATGCACTCTTCCCCAAATTAACCTTTAACCAATCATCACTTCACTTTTCCAAACTCAACTTCCCATTGGTTAAAAGGAACAAAAATGAAGCAAGTTGAGACAAATCCTTGTTTCTCACGCAGCTGTCTGGAGCCTATTTGAAAACCCAAAAATCTATAAAAAAAAGAATTACCCGACTTGATTCCAGTCAGTCAGACACTGAGTTTTGAGTGATGCCAGCAGACTCCACGCATGCCAACACACTGATTCAATAACACTACCAGCCTCTCATCAACTCAACACAACTTGCACTACTATTGCTGTGTGAAGAAACTTAACTTACAATTTACTAAAGAAAAGTGACATTATCACTATGAAATAGTAATTGTACATTTAATCAACTATAGCATATCAGTCACACAACTCTTCATAACTTGAATCAAAACTTACAATTGTAACACACATACACACTATTATTTGAACTCACACAATTGACATTTTACCTTGCAGAAATCAAACTGTTTTAATTCACAAACAAACTTAAACCATCAACATTCATTCACCAAATCTCTGCATGGACACTCTTTACAATCTTATCTCACTTGCCATGTTTAACAAGCAACCTATCATCACTTTGTGTATGTCAAATATATATATAAATTCATGTTATTGTTGGAGTTATCGACAAGAAAAAAATCGGACTAATTCTGGGTAATTTGTCCACCATTAAGAGCATTGTTTTTACTAATTAAGCTCAGGGCACTTCCGGGTATTTTCACTGGTGTAAGCGTAAATTTTGGCCTATACACTATCGTAAAGCTATATATATATATATATATATATATATATATATATATATATATTTTGGATAAGTGTAGTTTTATTTAATTAATTATTGTTTTATTTTAAATTTTAAAAAACAAAAAATGCTTTACTGTATTATTTAATTCGTTCTTTTTTAATTTGTCAATATTTTCATATATTTGAAACTTAAATTTTTTGATAAGTGTGGTAGTTTTATTTATAATATGAAACTTTAAGCAAAAACAAATTAAATAATACAATGGAACCTTTTTTCCATGTAGAATAGTAATGACAAATTAAAAGAACAAATTAAATAATATAATAAAGCATTCTTTTAAATTAAAATGAATAATGCACAAACTTTGCATGAAGTTTGAAAAGAGCAAGATTATTTACAAAATAAAACAAAAAATGCTCTTTCCCAGCTTTTTTTATTTTGTAGATAATCAAGCTCTTTACAAAGTTTGTGCATTAATTATTATTTCGTTTCTCGCATTATTTTTATTTTGTAATTTTATTTTGTACATAATCATGCTCTTTACAAAGTTCTTGTGCACGAATTAACTATTAAATTTTGATAAAACCCACCATATTGAAGTTACCAACAATAAAAATACGGACTCAGTCGCGTTCATTCGTCCACCATTATGGGCCCTGTTTAACTACATTCACTGCGGAACACTTAACATAATTGACAGTTTATTTACTGCTTTTACTGATCTTACTTGTATAAATTACTGTGCACTGTCGGAAAGCAATGACAAGTGGACATGTATTTTTATTGTTATTTTTTAAACTTTTTTTCTTTTAGT